TTATTAAATAAGTAAATATATTCAATGTTTCAAATAAATAAAAAATAATTAATAATTTAAATGATATATAAAATTATACAATAGAATGATTTAAAGACAATATTTTGTATTACTTTTTTATATAACCTTATGTTTTATTTAAATTGTTAACTCTTTTTATTCATTTGAATTTGAAACCTATAATATTGAATACATTAACTCATTTAATAACATATGAAAATTATATAAAAAAATAATTTTAAAAAATTATCTCTATATCATCACTCAAAAAAAAAAATCTCTTAATCATTTTTCTTTTTGATTTCAAACATTCCTATCGTATGTGCATTGGACACGGAAAATTAAAGGAGAAGGAAGAAAGATGCAAAACTAGTTCCGACAGCATCCCAAGTAAGACAACTGTTGAACACCAGAAAACAGAATCAGGAATAAGAATATCATTACTGAAAGCTAGATAGGAACCTTGGAATCTGAAAGCTGTTGAATGCATTGGTGATTTTGTCTTTGGTGACCAAAAAGATACCAAAAGAGTTAAGAAACCAAATCAATATCAAATTGAAAAGTTAAGGGACCAAGGGCAAATAGGTAATATAACCAAATCAACCAGCTTTTTTACTGTAATCAAGAACAAAAAAAAAAAAAAAGAAAAAGAAAGGGTTATGTTGTTGTTGTTCCTTTTGTAGGCCTCCGTTTTCATGGCTTTACCACAGAATAAAGCCGGCCCACGCCCAGTTCCCCAGCACCAATGCACATATAAACTTTTATGCCTTTTAGTTTTATTAAATAGGTTTTTTGTGTGAAAATAATTTGTATACAATTAATTTAATTTATTTTTTGACATATTTATAATTTAATAATTAAAAATATAATATAAATACAATTAATTCATACCTCCTATATACATGATTGTATCTTTAAATTTATTTACTTTTAATTTTAAACTAAGAAATGATGATTTTGTAATAAGTATGTTATGCAATGTGTTGAATTAAGTGTGTATCAATTATTATCTTTTTTTTTTATTTGCAATTTTTCAACTATCTCTATCTCTATCTCTTTTATTATTATTATTATTATTCGAATCCATGCTCTTTGAAGTCTATCATGCGCACACTATAAAATAGTTAAGCTCCTAATATAGGAGAGTGTGTTTTCTCCATCAATAAATAAATGATTTGTAGTTTGCACAAATTGCACTTCACTTATATATATTTTTGAATCTCTTATTTTATTATTTAAATTGTATTAAATTATAAAATATAAATCATTAAATGATAAAAAGTCTCTAATATTAAATGATCAATATTTTATTTAATAATAAATATTATATAATTTGACATAATTTAAATTACATAATATTTTTTGGGATATACATTTATTTATGTGCAACTATGGCTAAAATTAAAAAGTAGCAGTGGAGAGCAGTATAGTTTACGCCCAGCATGACTTCAACCTCATTCATAAAGTTAAGGTAAGATATTAAAATAGGGCAAACCTTCATGTCATTTTCATCAAATACACATTACCTTTTTCTTTTTTCCAACATTTCCATTATATTTTAAGACATTTTTTCAACACATCTACGTATGAATAGTTCAATACTATTATCATGAGACAGACATAAACAAATATAAGTGCAATAATTTTTAACTCTTATATTTGGATGGTAATCTGTGTTTTGGGTAATATTTTTCACTAACTTTTAAACCATTCAATAATATTTTGCTTGATTTGTGTTTTTGTCAAGCTAACCATTAAAGTGATTAGTAAAAGTTTGCTAAATTAGTAACTATTAATTAAAATTTCTTGATTTAAAGCTAAAATTATAATTCAAATCCTACATTATTAAGCAGTTAAACTTTCAATGTACTAAAAAATAATTAATTATTGGATTGAATACAATTTTAAGTTGACTGATAATCTTTTCCAAGAAATTGTATATGTTTTAAGATGAGGCTATTTCAATTTTCAAAAATTGTGTACGAGTTGTTGAGATAAATTAGTGAATTCCGTGCAATTTAGCTTGAATAAGATCAAATTAAGCATAAAAATAAGTAAATAACCCACAATTTTCAATACATCTAACGTTTTAAAGTTTTGGCGCTCGCAATTAACGTTTTAAAGTCTTTAAATATCGTTTGATTTTCATATATTATTCATCTAAATGGAAGTATTCAGTGGCATGGTTTAACTCATTTTTTATTAATTAGTCATTCAAATCAATATAATCAGTTGGGCAAAAATGTCATCTAATCCATTTGTATCATAATTGAACCAATTCAACCCAATTGGATTAGTTTTGATCGATTAAATTACAATGATTATGTAACAAGTTCTACTCTTCAAATTTTTATAAGAGAAAAGGGAAAAATCATGATATCTAGGAATTCAAAATGTCAAAATATCTAATTATAATTATTAAATATGTAAAGTATGGTGTGAATCTTAATTTTATCAAATTTATCATATAACCATTATTAAATTTCAAATGTCAGGACATTCTGTTTCTTTCTATTTCCCATTCTATAATATTTACAACTTATATGATCAAAATCCTACATCCAAGAATTAGAAGTGCATATTATTGAGTGAATTAGGCCTTAACAACTTAAACTATTAAATAAAAATAGATTTATTGAGATAATTAGTTATTAGTAGAGTCAAAATACAAAGCAAGAAACTTATATGTTTTGCTTATATATATATATAAATTTAATGTTATTTAAGAGTTGTGATTTAATTGATAAAAAAATTTAGTGTTTTAATTGATAAAAAATTTATTTTTTATCTTATTAATTAAAATTTAATTTTAAGCGAACTATTAAAAATGTAATTTTTATGAATAGATTAAAAAAATTCAGTATCACAAATTAGGAAAACTCTTACTAAATATTGATCGAATGGGGTTAAAAAAAATTTTAAAAAAATTTGTTGGTGTTTTTCAGGAACAGCGAATAATACCAATGAGGGGTTATATCAAGTGGTAAGCAGCTTGTTTCAGTTTAAGTAAGTTCTTGAGTTTGAGATCTTGTGTACGCAGTAGTTTTTGTTGGGAGACTCACCTACCATTTGTTGCAGGTGCGGTCCAAATTAATCGAGACGAAACCTTGAATACCGGATAAAAAACCAAAAAAAAGAAAAGGAACAGCGAATAAAGAAGACGACATTGTTATCTCCAAACTTCCAAAGTGATATGACAGAATTAAGAATCCCTAAATCGTCTGAAAAATAATTAAACATTAAAAAAAAAAAAGGTAGGGGGGTGAGGGGGAGGGAAGAAAGAGAATGTGCCAATACACAACCAAAAAGTTACGTCGCATTTCCTGCTCCGTCATTGTTTTCCAATCTCCATTTTTCCTCTCTCCCAAATTAACGAAAAAAAGAAATTAGAACAGAGAAAAGAAAAGTGGAAGTCTCAATCGTCGTTCTATCTCTCGGAGAGACTGTGAAATCTCCGATCGATTCTCATCTCTTTTGATTGAGTGACGGTGGAAGGATACTGAAATCTCCTTCGTTTTCGCTTTCTGGAGGAGAGAACAGAGAGGAACGCATAGGTTCTGCCATGAAGAATCATCCAAAATAGATGTTCATTTTCGGCAAAAGGAGTAGCGGTTTCTTCGTCTTAGGGAGGAAATCCGGGGAGACAGACTCTGAAGCTGTTTCTCACGGATGATCAATCGGCAGCTCGCATTATCAATGGAGGTTGATTTGAATCCATGACTTTCTTGTTGCTGTTGTCGTGAATCTGAGCATCAGATCGGCTCCTTGACGCACTTAGTTGGCTTGTTTTCTTGTCGAATTGGTTTCGCTTGTTTATTTATTTTCTTACTTGCGAATGATGAGCAACGGTGGCCTACGAGAAGGCGCGGCTCCGGCGGGAGCGCTGCAGCCGCTGGAGTGGAAGTTCTCTCAGGTGTTCGGAGAAAGGACTGCAGGGGAGGAAGTACAGGAAGGTACGATCTTAGATTTATTCCATGCGAATTCACTTCGAGTTTGATAGCCTATTTTCACGTCACTGTTGCTGTATTTTCAAATGTTGATGTTATTCTAATTGATAGAGCTGGAGCTTTTCTCAATACATTGATTTGTTATGGACAACATAATTGGTTATTGGGAAGTAAGATTTGATACATTGGGCGTGGATTCCAGCCTCGTAGGATCTGATACCATCTGTTAATGATAAATGCTTGTGGGTTATTACCTTCCAATCTATATCATTGCAAGTTGAGTAAGAGGCAAGTGTCACATAGAGTGCGAGAATTAAACAAGTCTTTGCTCAAGGACATCTTGCAAAACAATGAAAATGAGAGTGAGCTAGAGTGCATGGTAGATGTTCTTTGACTTGGTTTTCTGTACTTTCATGATGCGGCAACAAACATACTATTTTCATAATTGTGTTTTTGTGGCTCCTGGCCAGTGGGAGATATGGTAGAAATGGAAAAACTCCAGAGAGTGAGTCAAATTGTTTTCTAAACTTCAGGCCAGCTTATTGGTTGGGTTTATGAGTTACTATTTTTGCTGAGCTTGCTGGAAATTAGATTCCCAGTTTCTTTTTTGAACAGTGTCTTTGTTGGGCTGAATTGTGCACTGTGGTGGTTTACTTTGTTCTTGTGAATTCCACTCATTTTTCTTATCCCTAAGATGCTTTTGAATTAGAAATATTCAGAAATACTGAGAAGAGATTGCATTCCATGAATCCTTTTCTGATATTTCTTGTTGAAGGGATGGTCTAAACTAGTAAACTGATTGTTTTACTTACTGGCCATTTGTTTTTCTTTCCACAGTTGATATCATATCAGCTATCGAATTTGATAGAAGTGGTAACCACCTTGCTACTGGAGACCGTGGGGGCCGGGTAGTTTTGTTTGAGAGAACTGACATGCACAATGTATGTCTCTTTCTCATATTTATTAAGTTAGGTTATTGCATTTAATACAGCTACCTGATGTTAACCTTTAATATGTAGCATGGAGGACATCGGAGAGATCTAGAGAGGATTGATTATTCAATTACTAGGCATCCTGAGTTCCGCTATAAAACAGAGTTCCAGAGCCATGAGCCCGAGGTGATTAATAATAGGAATATGAATATTGAGTTTGGATTTATGTGTTTAATCATTGGTGTTCTAATCTTGCTAATCCTCAAATTTATTGGTTTAACACAGTTTGATTATCTTAAAAGCTTGGAAATTGAGGAGAAAATTAACAAAATTAGATGGTGCCAGTCAGCTAATGGTGCTTCGTTTCTTCTCTCCACTAATGACAAAACTATCAAGTTCTGGAAGGTAAGTTTTCTCTCCGTATCATCTTCTTGTAATTTTTTCAAAAGCAACATAAACAGAAGCATTGATGAGAAGTATTCTTGTTGAGAGAAACAGCAGATTACGTTTATAAATTTAAGCTTCCTAAGCCAGTTGGTCTTTCTGTTGTGACTCCTAGCAGGTCCAAGAGAAGAAGGTTAAGAAAGTATGTGACATGAATGTTGATCCCACAAAAGCCATGGGAAATGGCCCTAATGTTGGTTCAAGTGTATCATCAAGCTCAACAAGCTCCAAACCTTATACTGCAAATGGGGGATATCCAATCAATGATTTTTCATTCCCAACTGGAGGTTTACCATCTCTGCATTTGCCAGTGGTAGTTGTGCTCAACCTGATATATTATTTTTGTTATTTGAAAATCCTGTACCACAAGAAGTTGACAGCTTGAAATTGTTGTATACTTCCATACAATCTGTGGATCTAACTCATTTGTGATATCTAGGTAACTGGTCATGAGACAAGCCTTGTTGCTAGATGTCGAAGAATATATGCTCATGCCCACGACTATCATATTAACTCCATTTCAAATAACAGGTGCTTGACCTTATTTGATCTGATTTACATCTCCACCTTGTTTTAAAATGTGTATATAATGTTTATTATCTGCCTCTCTTGAGCTGAAATTGTTTTAATTGTGGTCCCTGGTGTAAGTGGACTGCTAGTCTGCCATGGGTGGGGGTTAACCATTTGTTAGAATTGGCATATAGGTTGTTTAAGGATATAAAGCATCCAGCAGTTCAGTAGAATTAGAGAGGCAAAGAGAGTTCAAGTATTGGTGGTGTGGTGGGTTCCCTTCTGCTATCACATTCATTGTATAACCAAATACTGACTTACTTTTTTTTCTGTTGTATAGTGATGGTGAAACTTTCATATCGGCTGATGACCTGCGAATCAATCTCTGGAACTTGGAAATTAGCAATCAAAGTTTTAATATTGTTGATGTGAAACCTGCTAACATGGAGGACTTGACTGGTATGGATGGTTTTGTGAATGTGTATTGTGGGTTTAATCTTCTTTCCATTAGAAATGAGTTTTATATGTTAAGCGATTTTATTCTTTCGGGTGTACTCTTTCCCCTTTTCATTTGCCTAACCTTGCTAAGGCTTTTCATCTCCCACCCTCTTAATTTTCTTTCTTGTTCTGTGGGAAGAGTGGGAATGCAGGGGATAGTTCAGAGGGTTTTCCTGAAAGAACTTTAGTCTTGTCCATTTATGATGTTTTATTGTTAAAAAATTATACTTGGCATCACTGTAATAATTTGCTTGAGTTCACATGTACAGAGGTGATAACTTCAGCAGAATTTCATCCCACTCACTGTAATGTGTTAGCATATAGTAGCTCAAAGGGCTCAATTCGTCTTGTTGATTTGCGACAGTCAGCGTTGTGTGATAGTCATAGCAAATTGTAAGTGGTTGATAACTTTCTAGTTTTGTTCAATATATTTGATAAATGAGTTATTAGACACATTGTTAATTAGAATAGGCATTGTGTGAATAAAAAACATCTTTGGATTTACTTTCAATGTCTTTTCTTTTTGTTTTTATAAATTTTCTGATGATATAGGTTTGAGGAACAGGAAGCTCCGGGCTCCAGGTCTTTTTTCACAGAGATAATAGCCTCAATCTCTGACATTAAGTTTGCTAAGAATGGAAGGCACATACTAAGTCGTGACTACATGTCTTTAAAGGTTAATACATTCATAACAATCTGTTGTAATCAGCAACCCTCTTAGTGCCTTTTTTTATTCTGGCCTCTCACACCCTTCTGATTTCTTGGTTGTTAGTTATGGGACATAAATATGGATTCTGGTCCAGTTGCTACATTTCAGGTTCATGAACATCTAAGACCTAAGGTGATTTATTTTCCAAGAAGATTTTGTTGGATTTAGATAATATTTAATGGAGATGTGGTATTAACAAACAGCATACTATGCATTTTCCCCCCTCTTGCAGTTATGTGATCTATATGAAAATGATTCTATCTTTGATAAATTTGAATGTTGTCTTAGTGGAGATGGACTTCGAGTGGCTACTGGTTCCTACAGGTCTGCTTCAGATGTTTAAATGATTCTCATTTTCATATCTGCATATTGCTTGGATTATGTTGTTAATCTAGTAGTTTTCTGGGATTCCAGCAATCTCTTTCGCGTATTTGGTTGTTCTGAGGGCAGCACAGAAGCAGCAACATTGGAAGCTAGCAAAAACCCCATGAGGTGTGTTTAACAGATGTTGGTTGTTGTTGGCTAACTGTTGGTTTATTTGATTTGAGTGGCTGGGAGGGAGGAATTGATTCACATTCCTGTTTGCCAATTTTTAAATCAAAATGAATACTACATTGATTCTTATAAATACTCTTTTCATTAATTTTGTCTATGCATTTTCAGGAGACAGGTACAGACCCCAGCTAGGCCCACTAGATCACTTGGTAGTTTCTCTGGTGTTGTTAGGCGAGGTATGTTTTTCAACAAACTGCTAATACAAAGATTAGAGTATTTAATCTGTAGAATTTTACAACTGCATAAAACCAACTGTCCACATGGCTGCTACTAGCCAGCTTACAAAACCACGTCTTCAGAATAAACCAACAACACTTTTGTATTGCAACATTTGACTTATTGTCTAGTTGCTTGGCATTGATTTAATAAGTTTGTCTTTGTATCTCTTTCCATTGCCAGTTAAAGGAGTGGATAACTCTGGAGTTGATACAAATGGAAATACTTTTGATTTCACGACAAAGTTGCTACATTTAGCATGGCACCCAACTGAAAACTCTCTTGCCTGTGCTGCTTCAAACAGTCTCTACATGTATTATGCGTAAAGATGATCCAAGATAGATCATTGATTATTTACCTGGCAAAGCTTCCTAAATGCAACGCAGATGTTGCTTTGCCTACATCTCTAACCAACAACGTGGAAGCTGCACTGTGTGTTGTAATCTTGGTGATTCACTAGAATTCTTGCAAATCCTCCAACAGCTGGGTTTGATGTAGCTGCTACTGAAATGACAACAACAAAAATTGACTTCAACTGCCAGGCAGGCTGCCAACTGATTATATTCTTTTGTTAGGAAAGATGCAGTTATGTCACTATTGTGTTTTGTTGAGGTAAAGAAGTTGTGACAGTGGCATTCAACTTTGTGGAGACTAATGGGAGCTGTAGCTGAATCCAAGGAAAAACTGAGAAGTTTCTGGGGCATCAATTCTCATTGATGTAGCTTGGCCTAAAATCTTTGTACTTACATCTGTGTTAGTATTACTCTGATATTATTGTTATTTAAATTTTAACAATTCTTTCTTCTCAGGGAGTTCCTCATTTGTGGTATGTCATGAGCTTTGCCCAGTGATGGTTCTTAGGGGATGAAATGCACTCCATGCTAGTACATTTGTCTTAGTTTAACCTTTTAAAGTTACCAGTCTGTTCGGCTATTTGAAGCATTAGCTTTATTATTATTATTATTATTTGATTTTTTGCACATTGCCAGCCCATCTAGCACTGCAAGTGCGAAGCATTAGCTTTATGGTGATTAAGCAAAAATTCTTTGAGGTTCTCTGCAGGAATGAGTTTTTGTTACCAAAATTATCACACATCATCGCTCTTTTTTCGAATTCGTGTTTCTGATGGGTAAATGTTAAATGACCTTATGGATATGGAAAAACTGCGGTGCGGTCACAACAGGACTGTATGATGATGGCGGTTCACCTGACGTTAGAGATTAGACGCTCACTCATCTTACTCTTACCGATCCCATTTTGTTGGTAGATGTAGTTCGCAAAATAATACCCATAGATTTTTTTTTTTCTTGAAAATCAATATCCATAGATATACCGTTTGAAAATCTTACGCTTCTAGAAATTTTCTTTTAAAAAATTTTTTTTTTCTTAATGTCAATATGTATATTTTTTACTTAAAATAAATTTTAAATTATATAATAAAAATAATTTTATTTATTTTTTTATTCACAATTCACATTCTTACATGTCTAAATTCAAATTCAAGTCTTTTTATTTTCCAACATAAAAAATTAGTGCTAAGTGCTTGTAAGATCCTTCCTTCGTTTTTTACTGGCAAAGGACAAATCTAAAAGACCAATTTATTTACGAAATCATCAAATATTTTTATTTTATAATTTAGTATACTAAATTATAAAATAAAATATTAAATAATAAATAATTTTAATATTAAAAAATTCATTCATATTCAATAAATAATATTATAAGCACCTTACAACACAATTCCTTTTGCATCATTAAAAATAATTCTCTTGCTGCAGAACACCTTTTCCCGTCATCAAAAAAATAATTCTCAATTTTAGTTTCAAAAATTTGTCCGGAATTTGGCAATTCATTTGTGGGCTATCGCATTGCTTAACCGTCTCAAGCCCAATCGAAGTACCTAACTCCAACCTTCGATTCTCCTCAATCTCAAATCAAAGGGAGAGGAGAAGCTGATTCCCATTTACCGGGATCTCATGGCTCTAATTACCCGAACGACGGCCACCGGCGCCGCCTATCGACTCCCTCTCCTTCTATCCGCCAATCGCTCTCTTGCTCTCCACACCACCGTCCCTTCTCTCTCCCCCACAAACCCCTCGTCCCCAACCCCATATGCTCGACCTCCTCCCCCGGCGACTTCCTCACCCATGGGCCTCTCCAAGGCCGCCGAATACGTGATCTCGAAAGTCGATGACCTCCTCAACTGGGCTCGCCGCGGTTCTATCTGGCCCATGACCTTCGGACTTGCTTGCTGTGCTGTCGAGATGATGCACACCGGAGCTGCCCGCTATGATCTCGACCGCTTCGGTATCATTTTCAGGCCTAGCCCTCGTCAGTCTGATTGCATGATTGTAGCTGGTACCCTGACCAACAAGATGGCTCCTGCCCTGCGCAAGTATGTTATATTGTGCTCCGATCTCATTTCTTCTTCCGGATATTATTTTGTTTGATTGCATTATTATTTTGGTTTTTTGTTGTTCGATTTTCCGCCATATGAGTATTTTTTTCTTAACATTGTTTCGGATTGAATTTGATAGCTATGAGAATGTTGATTTGTGTTTTATAGATAGAATTTTGAAGCTTCTGCCCATAAAATTAATGGGGAGCTTGGTAAATATGTGGATAAACCAATAAAGGAATATGATTGAATATTTAGTATTAATAACTATCTTGGTTTGCTGTTCTCATTTGGTTGCTGGGAAGTTGAATTTGAAAAGAGAAACTTACTCACACTGGCGTTATACTGTTGGTCTTGCCGATTTACCTGCTGGCTCATTTGCTTAATAATTTGATTAATTCAGTTGGGCAATTCATTGAATTTGAATAGGTTTATAATTTAGTTCATTTACAAATATGAAAAGCTGAATAGAAGGGGGCTAATGTTAAGGATTGCTGTGAATGATCTTTTTATGATTTAATCTTGTGTCAAGCCAACCGGGCATTTGTGACTGAACTCATGTGGCACCACAGAGATCAATATTTAGCAGATATTGGTTGTTATGGAGACTGATGACATAAAAGTCAGTAGCATTTTCTGGTTTGGAGGGTGTTGGTATATTAGATGTTTTTAGGTTTTACAGAATATGGCAAAATAAGAATGACCTGATTGTTGAGCTTCTAGCTCAGCAGTCTCCATAATGAGAAATGATATTGTTTTGATTTTTTTAAACTAACACCTGCTTTGTATTGGTTTGGACTTCGGCTGCTTCAATCACTCAGTGAGTGATGCATTTTCCCTTTTGGATTTGCTAGAGTTTCTAAGCTATTGTTAAAACAAAGAACTATGATGGCTACAGCTACAATCCCTATCTTCCAAGACTAAAGTTGATTAATAGGTCTTCAACTACTGCAATTACTCTGTGATCTCTGGTCTGTGATGCTTTTTTCCTTTGGGATTTGCTAGAGTTTCTGAGCGTTTTGTTAAAACAAAGAACTATGATGGTTACAGTTACTATCCCTATCTTTCAAGACTAAAGTTAAGTTGCTTCAGGTTGCATTTTATAACCATCATCAACCCCTAAGCTCAATTTGACCTGGCTTGTTTTAGGCTTGAACGACTTTGCATGATCCAGCTTACTTCAGTTGTTAATAATTTGATTATCATCTTTCATTTTAAGTATTAACATTGTACAGTAATGTTTTTTTTGTCCACATTGTCTAACTCGCTTAAAGTGATTGTAGAGAAACCACCCTAACTTGGACTAAGTTTGGTCTAGGTGACAGAATCAAAATGGAGCTTAAATAAAGATAGCGGAGGACTTACTGCATCTTAGCTTTAGCAGTTATAGTTACATTGGTTTCATGGTTTTAGGTTTACATGTTGAAATGTCTGCAGGGTTTATGACCAAATGCCAGAGCCTAGGTGGGTCATTTCAATGGGAAGCTGTGCGAATGGGGGTGGTTACTACCACTACTCATACTCTGTGGTTCGAGGTTGCGATAGAATTGTTCCTGTGGACATCTATGTTCCAGGTTGCCCACCGACTGCTGAGGCTCTACTCTATGGACTCCTCCAGCTTCAGAAAAAGATCAACAGGCGTAAGGATTTCCTCCACTGGTGGACCAAGTAAGGGATCTCACGTTGCTACAAAGCAGTATTGGCCCTAAACATGACTGTCTAATAAATCCATTTCTTGGTATCAGTTCTCTGGTGAAAGACCCTATAGAGGAAGACATTATTAATCTGGATACACAATCTAGAAAACTTGTTTTAAGATTCAGTGTTTACTCAATCGGGTTATGTTTGTACTTTGTATGGTGGTTTGACTTTAGTTTATGATGAGAACTTGAGCAAATTGTTCAGTGGATGCTCATGTTTTTGTTTAAATATCAGTATGAATAAATTTTGTTTGTGACATTGTGGTGTCTGGATTTCATTGATCCAACCCGGTTGCTGGTCCTGCATCTTCAGACTTGAATGGCCTTTGTCATATGCCTAGGCAATGGTGATAAAAAATAAGTTTGGTTTCTTGGCCACTCCAACTCCAACAGAAAAACCATTCCGATCATGTTTCAATTCCTGGGCTCAATATTTTTAGGTTTTTCTTTCCCTTTCTTTGGACAAATAGGATTTGATTTTCAAATCTTTTTTTGAAAAAGATTGTGTCCGGTAATAGTTTGTTTAGTTTGAGATGAGAGAGAGAAGATGATGTTATGTCAACGGATTAGATTAAGAGTTTAAGAGTTATATGTTTTATAGTTTAGATTAGATTAAATTATAAAACAAAAATTATTAGATGAAGATGAAGTTTTTTCATTTAAGGAGTTATTTATATCTAATGATTAAAATTATATAATTTTAAAATAGTTTAGATCATATAATATTTTTTTATTCAATAAAATTATGTGAAAGAATTAATTCAATCAATTATAATAATTTTTCTTCTCTTTTTAAATTAATCAAGCTCTATGGTTATAAATCTGTTACTTAAATATGCAAAATCAATATATTTTTCAATAAAATAAAAATAAAAATAAAAACAATACAAGATGGCATCGAGGAATAACCAGAGCCCTCTTGACTTCGATGATAGACCGTAATTATCATCTACCAATCAAAGCATAAAGATTTATGCTATCATAAAAAAATAAAAAAAAATAAAAAAAAATAAAAAACGAAAAAAGGGAGAGATCTACGGATGTATAAAAAAGTCCACTAAAAAATAAAAATATCAAATAAACAGGGCCTTGCCGTATATAAATAAAACGACTCTGATATTCCCACCTCATATCGTACTACCCACTTTCTATCCATCTAGGGTTTCTATCCCAACTCATACACAATGGCCGACGAATCGCAATACTCATCAGGTCCAGATGTAGGCGGCAACAAGCGGAAGTACGAGGACCAGACCCCTCCGTCGTCCGGTGGAAGGAGGCCCACCGGCTTCTCATCTCCAGATTCGGCGCCTCGCTCTTACAATAGCGTTCCGCCGCCTCTCGATGGCATCGAGATGGCTAAGCAGCGTGCTCAGGAGATCGCGGCTCGCCTCACCGCTGCATCTGCTCTTGCTGACGCTAAGCGTCCTCGCGTCGAGAACGGTTCTGGCGGGTTTGACAACGAAAAAGGCTTTAGTTCTGCTCCATCTGGTATTGTCTTCCAGCTCTTGCTCATTCTCTACATGTGGATTGTTTTTATCTAACTTATAATTTCTTCTACTCTTCCTGTTTATGATATGTACTTTTATTGATAGTGTCAATTGATTGACTGAATCTTACTAGTTTTTTGCATTTGAAGCTTTAGTTAGTGTCGATCACAAACCGTGCATCGTTTTTTTTTTTTTTCCTGGATTAAGGAATTTTGTTTCTCAGCTACTGAGTATAAATTCTGCTCGTTTCATTCGATTGTTCGTTTATTGTATGAGTGAATTGCTTTACTCTTGCTAGGTTGCTGTCTGAGATAGAGAAGAGGGGTGGGTATCTAGTGTACCGAATATCCATATAGAATTTTGATTTTTGACCAAAAAAAAAGAGCATTTGTATCTTCTTTCATTAGAAGTCTAATTGCCCGTTTTCTAAAATTTATAATACTATTATGTTTCTGATTATGAAAGCGTGTTTATAAATGAGTTTCTTGTAAGATGTTTCAAATGTCACTTTAAAATGGACATGGGAAAGCTGTGTTTTATGTTTTGTTTACCAGCATATATTGAAGGATGGGAGTCTCTTTGTTCTCATGCATTTTGCTGTAAATTTAAATGATCTCTCATTTTCTTTGCAGAAGAGCATTTTTTTTTTTTTTAACATTTGATTCTCTTTCTTCTAAACAGAAATGAAACCAATGTCAAACATGCCTCCTTCTGCAATACCTGTATCATATGGTAATTACCATGGTACAAGCAAAAAGATTGATATTCCACAAATCAGGGTTGGTGTTATTATTGGCAAAGCTGGGGAGACTATTAAATATCTTCAACTGCAATCTGGAGCAAAGATTCAGGTCCAGAGAGATATGGATGCAGACCCTAATTCTGTGACCAGGCCTGTGGAGCTGATGGGTACTGCTGAACAAATTGCCAAGGCAGAGCAGTTAATAAATGATGTCCTTGCTGAGGTTATTTCTCATATCTTTTTCCATTAATTTAATATGAACATGCACATGTTGGTGTTTCTTGAAATGAAATCTGTGAAATTTGTAACATCAACTTGTTTGGCATTGCCTTTTACTTGAATTATTTTTTAAGGCATCAATGTTGCATCATCCGATGCTTTATTTGTGACTTGTGAGTATGTAAAACTAAAGTAATCATGCAGGCTGAAGCTGGTGGTTCTGGTATAGTTTCTAAAAGATTGACAGGAGTCACAGGACATGCTGGAAGTGAGCATTTTGAAATGAAAATTCCAAATAACAAGGTATACAAATATTTGCAATTGTAGACTCAGTTCATTGGTTTTGGTTCTGGCTGTCATCGAATGTGTCCCTGATCTCAGGTAGGGCTGGTGATTGGTAAAGGTGGTGAAACAATTAAAAGCATGCAAGCAAGGACTGGGGCTCGTATACAGGTTGGTTTTGACTCTTAATGCTTTATATGTATCACAGGTTGTCTCTTCTTATTAACCTTCAGATAATGCACCATACGGTCCTCCTTTTTGACCCTTTTTGATAAATTATTTTGAAAATAGATCCTCTGATTTTCTACCTTCTCAATCTTTTTCAGGTGATACCTTTGCATCTGCCTCCAGGTGATACTTCAATCGAACGGACTGTACACATAGATGGGACTAGTGAACAGATTAAAACTGCAAGAGAGATGGTTGAGGAGGTCATTAGTGAGGTATGTCTGGTTTTGGTTGTGGGAGGAAAGCTTGGCTTCAGTTTCAAGCTGTTTACCCCCCTTCCTCAATGTATAAGTTATTTGTGCTTGTATTTATGTTTGTTTGTTCATGTATGCTTCATCTTTTAGTTCATTGCTTTGTTGATTATGTTCATTACGAATGAATGCTGATTTTTTGCCATTTGCTGACTCATTTGTGGTAGTTCTCTAAGAAACCTGTGGTTATATGTTCTTGTCATTTTTATTTCTCCGGCAACTTCTTGTACACTTCATAAGTGTGTTTATTTAAGTAGATTATAGACATTATTCTGTCCTTAATTGCAGGGGAAGCCTGTACCATTAATTTTGGTAAAGTAGGGACTTATTGCTACTTTCTTGTTTGCGTATTCTCCCTATATTGGAATGCTTCCCCTTCTGATAGATTATCATATTATGGTCATTATTCTGCACACGGTCCCATATTCTGTTGTTTTCAGTATTTTGTAATACTAAAATTTTTATGTGATTCGAATCTATATATTATACGTGTCTATGTCATGCCAATGTCAAGGCTGCGGTTGATACCTCTTAGTTTCAGTACATATCCAAATGCTCTTGCAGGAAAGGAGATGGTTTTTTCACACATGGGTAAATTTTTCCTGCTAAATAGTTTGCCAAATATTTTTGCCTAGACTTGCTTCTAGATCCCCATACCTGAAGTAGCTGTTCACTGGATATTTTGCATCTATAGAACTTTTGTATGCTCTTTGCCACATTTGTAAAATCTGGGGAGTTGCAGAGATCTTTTGCTGCTGATCCTGTTGGTCTCTACAGCATAGCTGGTTGAGAAATTTGTCCTGTTTGTCACATGACGAGTGGAAGATGGGCAGATCCTCTACTTTGTAAGAGATTCAAGGCTATTTTATCAAATGTTTTCTGTTTTCTAGATGCATTTTAGGAGCTGGATAACTTGGTAATTTCGCTGCTCAATATCATTTTGAAAGTCTTATAGTGAAGTTTCACTTTTTTTCGATTTGGAGCTTCATGCTCTTTTCATGTGGCTCATTTTTCTATATTGATTAATCAAAGACAGAGATCAATTCAATTGAAGTTGCCATGTTTTTATGAAGATTGGCAAGCTGTCATAAAGTTAAACTCTCTAGTGTTGCTAATCTCTTGATGCTTAGATTGTTGGTCCAGCTTCTATACCATATGTCTAGGATATCATGATTATTTTAGCAATGGAGGTTTCTTAATTCTGGTGCTGTTAAGTCCAAAATATAATTTTTTATTTTCTAGTTAAAAGGCCAAGTGACTGGCCTTTTGGACTCTGCCTTATTTTGTTGCCTGCTGTGCTTATCAATAGCGTATGATAAGACTGATATTGCTATCAGAAACTATTGTTGACACCAGCAATGGTTTCTTTGTGTTGTTCTCTTAGCATTTGCCTGGGTATGGATTCAAGTTCCAGTTCCTAATGTAACAATGGAAGCATTTTATATGGAGAGATTAAAAGGTCTATTATTGATGAGGCATTATGAGGTCATTGGGTTAGATTATGTGTCTATGTTCCTTTAGGATGGTATTGGTTTTTTGTGTTTCTTACAAGTGTTTTTATACTTCCATTGATCTTTCTCTGGTCCAGCAAATGAAACTGACTATCAATTTACTGTTTTTTCTGTTGTTATTTTCATTGAAAATTTGACACGAAAATATTTTTTGGTCCATTTCTTCTCCCCTATTCCTTTATCCAAACAATTTATACATATAGGTCTTAGTTTCTTCCCTGGCAAAGTCTCTTATGTTGCTCATATGTGTGCCTTTTTTACTTGCCTCAAGATTGATCTAAAATTTATTAGCCCTGGAAATTGGAGCTACCACATACTTCTTATTTCACTAGTATCATGCTGATTGAAAATAGTTTATTAACCTAATGGGTTCTATTCTTGATTCTACATTGTTGCTTTTTTGAATCATGCTCTTGTTGAGAAGCATAAGGGTTCACAAAATTTATCTTCTTCTGATCTCGCATTGAAAGTTATATAATTTTTCTGTCAACAATCTTAGTTGTAAATAATCCTCAAGATAATTCTCTTCTAGTTCTGTGGTGCATTTTATCATTTCTTCTCACTTCCTCCCTTCTTTTATATAGAGACTTGTTAGGTTTATTCTTAGGGGATATTACTTGCTGCTGGCTATGACTCAAAAATAGTTATCTTTTGAGATACATCAGACATAATTTGATGCTTCTGTTATAATCCTCAAGAAGATTATTTGTTAGATAATATATGGTGTTCTCTTGACTGGTAGTTACTTGCCTTTCAATGGCAATTGAGTTTGTTGTTTGCTTTTGCTTCTGCTTTTGTTTAAAAGCTTGTATAGTATTTGTGGGTCTTTTTCCTTTTGTACCCATTCACTTCAAATAGGGAGAGGATGGGCCTCTGCTGCAGTACCTCAATAATCTCTCCAACTGGTACGGTATGTTGGCATTTATACCTTTCGAACTACAATATGAACTCCATTAATGCCAGCAAGGATGTATTGCTTATTCGTCCAATTTATCTGCTGATTTTGGTCCTTTGTTATTGTATATGGTTTATCTTTGTGTAGATGCATCTTATGTCTTGCTGTATGTGTTTTTGTTTAGCATCATGGTTAAGTCCACTTTGGTGATTTGAGGAAACAATTTTGTGCAGAATCGTCCTAGAAATCCAGCAATGACTGGAGGTTATCCTCAGCAAGGTTATCAGTCCCGACCACCAACAAACTGGGGCCCGCCTGGAGCTCCCCCCATGCAGCAACCTGGTTATGGTTATATGCAACCTGGAGCATATCCTGGCCCATCACCGCAATACTCTCAGCCACCTTATGGAGGCTATCCTCAACCTACATCAGGTGGATACGCCTCTAGTTGGGATCAGTCAGCAGTACCACCAAACCAGCAGACTACCACTGGAAGTGGTTACGATTACTATAACCAACAGCCCTCTTCACAGCAGCAGCAAACTCCTGGTGGTTCTGCAGCTCCTGCTGATAACTCTGGCTACAATTACAGTCAGCCGCCGGCTTCTGGC